AATGTTACCACCTTTAAAAATAACAACGAATCAATAACAGGTGTACAGTAATGAAAACAAATTTGTTAAATAATTGCAAATATGTAAACAGTGTGCTCGGCAACAGTAAACACAATTTACCTACTGCAAAATATATGTATATACTGTTATCAAATAACCTTTAAAAAGTTAATGTGCCACAGATGAACCAAATAGATATCGGATTCCTGGGAAAACTACGAGTAAATTGGTGTTAAATTTCCTCTCCTCTGACATTTCCACGAGTAAATTAACATACCTTTCTAACAAGAAAGATTTAACTTAAATTTCAGTTCTTTGCACGAGGATTAAGTTAGACCAGTATATTTAAACTCTTTTTTTTTGTATTCTTGAGAATATTGATACTTCTTATTCCCATTTTCTATGAGCAAAAATTAAGAGTTTAAATAAATAACCCTTGTCGTCCAATAAAATAAATGTCCACTTTTTGATTCTTGTGAATCCCATAGATAGGGGGATTAGGGCACGGGTCCTTAGTTTCCATTGTCAATTTCCTTGGATACGTGTTCGGGAAATGAACAATTAGGCAATTAACGTGTTTTTATTGGATAAATATACAATGATAAGATGGCATCTCTCTCCCTCCCTTCACTAACAGTACCAAGGTAAGATGTTTTATCATGGAAATTTGTCAAGTCCTTCTATTATACGTTTTACATACAAGTTCACATGAATTACAGTAGCCCTAGCAATTTAGAATTGGTCTACTGGGTAGACAGCTAAAGCAAAGTAAAATAATTGGTGACTTTTAAAGAAAGAAAAATTCAATTTGATGAAAGAATGGTTTATTTCTTTAAATTAGAGTAATTGTAAAATAGGAAGAATATAATATTCGAAATTATCTCTTATCATTTGATTTGGGTACAGTATTGCATTTCTGTCATCTGATCTGGCTCTCGTTATACAGCTCAGGCAGTTATATATATTTTAGAACTTAACTTACATATCTATCTTGTACATGTACTTGGAATACAATTATTATATATATTGTTGTTACGTTTTTACTACCCCAGTCATGTTGTATTTGTCCCGATTATTAAATATTGTGTTAAAAATTCTCATTTCTTAATTTGTCCGATGTGGAAATATCACCATACTATCGAAATGATGTTGTATTTTTGTAAATTAGGGTCACCCGAATTTCCTCCATATAAACATTTGAACCATAATAATTATATTTGCAAGACCCGTAACCCCCAATTCTTACCTGTATTATCTATGGCATCAATTACTTCTTTTTCTTACATTTCCCTACCATTATCTCATAATACACCCTTTTACGATTTTCCAAAGCTAGGCCAAGCGTTCATCTCTCAGTATGGCGCTAAACTTACTGCTGTTCGCGCGTGGATACATTCGGCCCTAGTGATCAAAAGGTTATACAGCGGTTTTAGATACAGCTCAGGCCTTGGAGTTATATATATTTTGACTGGAAATTGATTATGGATAATCTTATATCTATCTTATTTGTAAAAGCTACCAATTGGAATACAATTGATTATTTGATATATAAATTGTTATTTGATGCCAAGATCCATACCCAATTGATTATTTGATGCCAATCTCCATACCCAATTGATTCATTGATTATAAGTTTTCCGGTTGACCCATTTGATCCGGATAACCATTTAATAAATATGTTTAATTGATAATTACTTTATTTTTATTTTGTTATTCATTGTTTTTACCATAATAAATTTCATAAATTTACAACCTGACTTTTCATTTAGAGTTAAAGGGTAAAAGTCAGAAACAGGAGACCCACAATAACTTATTTTCATTGTAACAAACCCTGGACCAGGCGGAAACGTTACATTGTTATCAATTGGATGTGCCTCTAATAACGTTTTCTATTGTATATTATATATGTTGTGGAAAAAGAAATTGGCCAAGCGATTAAAAATGAAACTTATGATACGATTACAATATAAACCTGCATTTTTGCCATTCTGTATTCATCTGTAAATGAATGTACATCGTGCAAATGATAAGGGTCTTACTTCCTTTCTATAGAAATCATTGTAGCATTGAATTTTTTTTTATGAGAAGATGAAAATAGTCTCAAGAACATATATTTATTTGTTGTTTTCATTTCAACAAATTATAGTATTAGATACTGGTTGTGCATTGATTAAATGTCATATAAATATTTTCTTAGTGCAAATCAAACTTGCATTAGAGAAAAATCAGAAAGATTTATAAAATGTCATTAACTTTAACTGACATTTTTTCTTTACAAAACCAATGAATCGGACTTTTTCTGTCCCATTAAAGTCAATGACAAACTTTCTACACTCTTCAAACTTGTATGAACAAATCTGTCGCACCCCACCGAGTCATTAAAATTTGATTTAAAGTAGACATCTATCGAAAAAGATTTAAAGCCGTAAAAAGTCCCTGATAAAATGACACGTCTATGATGCTTTAATTAAAACGGTCCAATTTAGGATATACTTAAACGTAAGATGTCTATTTCTCGGACTAAAACGCACAGGTACTTTTTTTTTCTTTAAAGCATATACACGTGTAAAGCTTATACATTACTTTGCAAGTCTTTAGGCAATTAAATGTAAAATATTTGCATTACAGATTTGATTAAATAAATGTACATTACAGTTCAATTCCAAGTCGTTGATCGGGAAAATTCGGTTATTCCATGAATTCTTTGTGTTTGAATGACTGATAATCATACAGGATCTAAATCTTTACCGGTTTAAAAAGTTTCTTTTTTAACTTACATGTATATTAATTGGTGGTGTAAACTAACATACGTTTTTTTAATCAATCGAAGTGCCTAATTAAGCTGATGAATTATATGTGTATTAAATTAATATCATTTTTCAATCGTAAAATCTTCATACTACTTTAGAGGTTATTCACATTAATTACGCGTAGCTGTATTGCCGAATTTTTGCCAGTGTCAAGCAAAGTCAATATAGAGTTTCAAGATTTCGTCCAGTATCGCTATGTACTTATAACGAACTCATTAAATCATCAAGTTTTGTTATTGTGTATTGCAATAATTGAATTTGAGAAACTAATCGTTTAACCAGCCCTGTGCTGTGTAATAAAAATGAAAAAAAGGAGAAAATATTTACGCAAACTGAAATTAAAAGTAAACCCTCGAAACCCAACCTGTTGAACGCATCTAATACATGTATATAAACTATAAAAGTATCACCAATTGATTGGTATGGATCAGTAATCTCGGACAAAGATTAAGGACTTACAAGAAGATTAAAACTTTTGATATATAATCCTGACGTGTATAAGTTTACCTCTAGTATGGTTACAATGGACACGTACAAAAATTTTGCATTCTTGACCACGGGGGTCATCATGACAACTAAGGAGTAATTAACATGAAAATAATTAAGTGTTGTTCTTCTAATTAATATGGAACTCGGATTAACAAATATGTGAAATGAGAGTGAAATTTCAGTGGAATGTTGTGATATTTAGAGAAAAGTTTTGGATTACAAAATGAAGGACAACAATTCAACACCAACATCACTGTTTACGCCGAGTCCGCAACCGCATTTGGCGTCACGAACGCCATCGTTAAGAGCAGCAGACGGCAGAGCCGATTCGCGGTTTAGTAACAAATCAACGTCTAGATTTGGAAAAAGTTCAAAAAATGTTAATCAAAACAAGTAAGCTGAATTCAGGGGATCTGGTAAATTATATCTTTTTTTTTTGGTGAAGTTATTTTGTGAAAGATGGTTCTTTCCATTATTTATTGAAATAAAACTACATGTACATTTAATATGCATACGTATTCTAGCATACTAGGGGTGTGTGTGTTTTATTCCTCTACAATATATTACGCAGATTAGAATATCGTTACGTAAATCGATCATGCTTGTGCATTAAACCTAGAAATATTTACCCGTTTTATAATATTTATCTTCAAAATACCACGTGTTTAAAACCTTTTGCACTTTTTATGGAAACAAATACTTCAGCGGGGGTTTATCAAATAAACTTTTTTGTCATGCAAATATTTAGAAGTCTTTGGAAATATGGAAATGGGCATTAAATCAAGTTTAAAAGTTCATTTTTGCCACAAACACACTAAATCAAATGTATTTCATTCCATTCCTTTTAAAGGTCAACAAAACTTAACATAAGGTCTAATTACCTGTACATGTACATGCCACTGCTTGATTATTTGCTTTTGATGCACATGAAATGTAATGCTTGCATTATACTGTACGGTATAGTATTTGGTTTTGAAAGAAAAATGTACACGTATTAATAGACTTTCAATTCCTCTTACACAGTACAAAGCGTAGATTATCCATTTTAATAAAATCTGCAAAATGGCTATTTTAATCATGCTGCAAATGTTATTTGATAAAAATGAAATATATCAGAGAGGACACTGTATGTCAAGCAAGCTAAATACAAAATTTTAATGCAAGACAGTACATGTGTCATTTAATAATTGAAAATGATTACATGACAAATTAGGTTGAAAATTAATAATAAGAAAAGACATGCATTACAAGACTTTCAAATCTCTCTCTCTCTCTCTCTCTCCATGAAATCTTGGGTCATTGTTTAAATTTTCACCTGTAGAAACCTGAAATATGATGAATGTGTACCCTTGATACCCTGCTTGTCTCATTTAGATCGATCCATGCGGCGATTTGTTCCATCTCTGTGGTTCTGTTCAATGTATGTCTATAGCCCCAATATTAAAAATTCGACACCCTTTTTTTCAAGTATTCAGCCAAATCCCTGTAATATGAAATGCCTTAATGCGTATATATCTTGCATTAATTTCTGGAGAAGGCTGTCGTGAGAAAAAATGTCTGCATCTACCGAAACCAAAGAAAGAAGCAGAAGTTTTATATTAGAGAGAGCAGTGACGTAGGTTTTTTTTTGGGTGGATATCCAATGTTTTTGTATTTTTTTTTTTTTGAAACAAAAACTCAATGTTTTATTATTTTTTCCAGGATTGCTGAAATTGTATCACCAGAAAGTCCCAAAAAATCCGACACTGTAAAACTACCTCCAACCAAACAAAATGGCCATCTTGTTCACACGGACGAACACGAGCAGACGACAAAAGGCAAGAAGACAGAAGACCGTGATGGGAGACAGCTAGCAGACCCAAAGAAGAAAAAGAAAAGTATGAATGCTTTGATATCGTCATATTTTCTTTATATTTTCGAAAAGATATGGTATTAATTGTAACATAATTCATTAAATAGTTGATGTAATATATTATTTTTTTCATAAGACTTAAATTTACTCAGTCAAGATGTTTTATCTTAATGAATGTTGTCATTAATACTTCTATATGTTATAATAACCATCTGTTTTTACATAACCACATTGATATATACTATATGTATTGTGCATTGATCACTTTAATTTACAAAACATCTTACAATAATTTTACAACACTTTTTTCATCTAACCACCCGGCATTTCAAAAAACTTAGTATCTTGTGTTTCGAATATGTGTATCTTTATTGAATTTTCATTGGTGTTATCTTTCCAAGTCCAAAAAAATAAACTATAATTTTTTTTTATTATGTTAATAAACACTCCTTGATGTTCAAGCTGAGGAAGAGTCTAACAGACAAGCAAAATCCGCCCCGTCCAAAAGAAAAGACGAGGACAAAGACCCCCCAATATCCCCCCAAGTCGATAATTATACTCACAGAACCGAGTCCGACTCCCCTACTAACGGTGAGATTCGTAAACAATCTCGAATGTATTGTAATATGTGTGAAAATTGTATGTATTAATGTCAAACCTTTTGTGTGGATTTACATGTACTTGTAACTGTGAAAGAAAAAAAACTAATCTATCATTTCTTCTAAAATGTTTAATTACCTGTTTCCTTGTATGTCTTAATGAAACTTTTGGTAAACCTAAATGCTCGTTTAATTTATGGATGTTAGAAATTTTATGTTGAATTTAATATATATAATTTCCAGGAAAGAAGAAATCAACAAAGGACCAACACGAAAAGTAAGCAACTTATTCATTTTGGCCTGAATGTTTCCATGGGTCTAGATATCTGGTGTAGTTGTTAATTTCTTGCAAGTTCATTTGCAAGTGCTTTTGATAAATAATCTCCCAGGGTCACTTTACAACACAATGGTAATAGTTCGACTTTTATTATAAAATAGTTATTTCAAAATTTACAAAATGAACGTGTCAGGAAGACTTTCTTTGTCAAGAAAGGTCGGGAGGGCTATAAATAGACTTGCAAATTCAAATTCAAAAAAGGACAAAAAATAAAAATCAATAAACATAATTATTGCTATTATGTTCAATTATTACTGTAGTTTGTAAATATAATTTACATGTAACAGTAAGTATAAATGAATGGAATTTAAACAGAAGCCTATTATGTTTGGAAGTTTAAAATATCAATAGAGGAGATTATTTAGTGTCGTTGTAAGTGTAGTCCAAGTGGAAAATGGGGATGAATCGGTGAGGGGAATTTGCATTCGGAGGGAAATTTTATTTTTCTGTACAATTGTCATTCAAAATGACGCTTATACCAATACAATACAAACGATCAGTCAGCTATGCAAAACTTTCTCTGTTAAGGATAAATACAGACCCTGTTATTCTACCAGACATCGCGCAGAGGTTCGTCTTAGTTAATTGTTTTAATTTTGGATTTTTTTAAAAAAAAAAAAGATTCAATGCCTTTTGTCCAGAGTCACTAATTTTTAAATCCTAAACAGTAAGTAATAGAAGTATTTGTTGGTGTGTTGAACAAGACTTTTTAACTAAAATAAAAATCATTTCTCTCTTTTAATTAAAGAAACAGGAAGACACCTGCACCAGACACGAAAGAAAATAAGACAAAGAATGGAGCAGTTACAAACTACGCAAGGTAATGAATTAACTATGAAAATTTGTAGATAAATATTAATTTTTATTGGTATATTTTAGAAAATTTTCAGAAAAAATGTTCATTTTTATTTAGTATAATGCAGATTTCTTTCTATACCCGAGTATCTAATATCGCCAAATGACTCGTAGACACCAAATCTAGAGAATTAATGAATTTACAAATGGACTGTTGTTTAAAGAGATTTTGCATGCTCTTGTGTTTTCAAGTTACGATAAAGTTTCGCTATTGATGTTTCTTGCGAAATTTAAGGCAATTAAATCTGACCAAATATGACAAGGAGGCGGTGGGTGTGTCCGCAGTCGACAGGGGATGCTTACTCCTCCATTGCACCTAATCCCACCTCTGATGTTTGAACGTGTATACTCTGCTCCCAGTTTATATTGTTTCAATATAATAATATGACCTTTGAGCTTGACTACTGTTCTTTATCTTTATATTTCATACACATTACTTGGTTTTTACCTTTTCAGAGGAAATGAAAACGACAAAAAAGAACATGAAAATCCGAATAAAGCATCCAAAGGACCATCGGAGAAAACCAGAAGTATTCCGAACAACCAGCACACTAATAAAACAAGATCCGAAGATGAAAGACACAAGGAGTCCCCCACAAACAACAGTCCCTCCCACGACAAAAGTAGACCCGTCACGAAGGGTACCACCAAACAAGACCGTTATCACGTGTCTAACTTAGACGATCAATTCTTCTCGCCCGAGCCAAATTCCGAGGAGGCTTTGTTGAGGGAAGAGAAACGAGAACAACAGATAATGAGACTGAGGCTTCCAAAAAAGAACAGATACGGTCCTGTTAGGGCCAAAGGGCTTCAGACACCTAGAACCCCGAGGACTCCTCGCAGCCGAACCCCTCGGTCAAGGACGCCGAGGAATCGGTACAACCGGAAACCGGGATATTCGCATTCGGACACCGGAGATTACCGAAGTCCTAGGAGGAAAAGTATTCTTAATAATAAAGAAGCTGTTATATTGGAGAGGTCTCGACCCAATTCGTATAAATGGGAAAATAAACCCATTTACAGACACGAAACAAAGGATTGGGAGGATCAACGTGACGAATTGACGTGGAGACCGTCTGTGAATAGTCCAACCGATTGGTTGAGAGTGTACGTTGGTGACATTCAAATTCGCGAAAAAAGTGCTAAGTCTAGGAAAAACAGTCCCGAAACCACGGAACGAACTGTTCGTCCTGGAGCTCCACAAAGAAATTCTAACGAATATATCTTAACAAGGAGACAGGTGCCCGTGTACAAGAATATGCAGTCTGTTTATAACAATAAAATGAAAAGAGATAAAGAGTCGCGAGAGAAAAGATTTTTCGAGAAACTCCAAGAATGTCAGTCATTGAAAGCAAGAATGCAAATTTCAGACCTTGTCGACCGCCAACGGAAACGCGAAGTCACGAAACAACGACAACAGGAACAATTGAAGGAGCTTCGTCAACGTTTCGAAGATGCTGCTTGGGTGAGATTCAATACTCAGTATGTGACGTCACGTATTCTTGAGCACGAGAAAATGAATCGTTATGCTTACGGACTGCCAGAGGAAGTTGATGGAGCGCCAGAGTTTGAGTCCAAACTCAAGAGAAAACCACCCAAAATCAAAGTGGATTTTGGAAAACTGGATAAAGCGAATAAGAAAAAGTACGGTTCAATGTTCAGTATTTATAAGGGACCCGAATGGGATCCTGTTTCCAAAACTCCGCCTATGGAAGGAATTGACACTGTGGATATAGATTACGAAACAGAAGGAGGTAATGGAAGCTTCATTTATATAGTTAAACCTTTTAATCCTTAATCCTTTTCCCAATAAGAGTCGAGACAATGTAATTATAATTGATGCTGATTTGTATACTTTAAAGAAAAACCAGTCACTTTTTATGTAAACATGATAACATTTAAATACTGGACAAATATCAGGTGGGGATGGGAGTTTTTTTTATCACTTTTTGAATTTCTTTGTAAGTCTCTGGGCAATGTGGGCATATTTGTAAGATTGTGATGAGATATAATCGATTCAAAATTTTGTTTACAAATAGTTAATGTAAAAAATAACTTGCAAGGTCTGCTCATTTTTAAAGCGTTTATAAATACAGTAAAGATTTTTTTTTTTTTACATTTATTGCGTGAAATTAATCCATAATGTTTCTCCAAAGAATTAGAATTCAACTGCATGTATGTCAATGTAGAATGGATTATCAGAACTAACAACCCAACTTTCTTCTCCAATTACAAAATGTAATTATAGGGTACATAGTCGTTTTTGTGCAGCAGACAAACGGAACTTTGTAAGCAACCAATTATATTGTCATTTTGTTTTCTAGTCCTTTTGTGGGGCGTTTTATTATAGATTTTGTTATTTGTTGTTAAACAGAACTTGACGACCACGAAGGAGCGGAACTTGGCGGTGGTATATAAGATATATCTAAATCTCTTTACTATTTAAATAGCTGAATAGCGGTTACATTCACGCCATTTTCTATAGGGCAATAATTTAGCTGAACCTGTCTGCAAATTCACATGATCAATTCTTTCATGATTCTTGATAATTGCTGCTGTCGTTGATGCATAATTAACACAGTTCTATATTTCTCCTGTTGAAGGAATTGTCTATATCTTAGCTTTTATTTTTTTCTTCATTCAAGTAGATAAAAGATATGGATGGTAATTTTGTTTTATGTGGGTTGTGATTTGACATGACATGCGCACGTCTGCATGTTGTTTCTTTAACATTTTTTCAACACCAGATCAGGAAATTAGACCCTCGCATTCTTGAGTGACTTTTTTAAAAATTGATTTGCTCGCACCATGAAGATTTCCTTAAATTCTTTGTGTTTTTAAATAGTTTTGAATAATAAACACACGCTGTCATGTTGAGATGTTGAATTTACTGAGTGGGTGTAAATACAAAATTATATCGATGTTTGTATTTACTCTCTAAGGAGATTCAAATTGATAGCAACACAAACTAACACTCCTTCTTTATTTTGTAATTTCATTTGTACAGGTTGCCTTTTGAAAAAAAAAACATATAATGTAGCAAAATTGTTCATAGAAATAATTATAGTGTAGATTAATCAAACAAAAAGTTTCGGTGCTATAAATTAAATGCGTTATGTAACACTCTTAACTCTTTCACACTGTTATTAACCTAGAAAATCTTTGATCCTGTAACATACTTTTATTATCAATTCCAGTTAAGTGTACCGTTTTGCATTACGTCACAACCTTTTATTAAATGTGAAACGGTAAAGGTCACTAGACTTGATAATAAATGTACAGTGAAACCTGTATGATTCGTAAGGTTTCATTGGTGACAAATTTTGTGTCTGCTTTAACAGGGTATTGCTTAGTGTAAAGAATAAATATAATATGTTAAATTGAAATGAAAAGGACAGAATTCGCAGTGAAATGAATTATACAGATGTCGGATTAGACAGTTTTAAATTGTATTCGAGAAAATCCAAAATGAAATCTTGAAAACTTGGTTATCTTAGAATTAATAAAGATTTATCTCCTTTTCTCACTAGGACACAAGAAAGTAAAAACAAGAAGAGTCAAGGACGTTATTCGTGAGGCAGAAAAAGAAATGGCGGATCTAAAAGGTGTGTATCAACTTTCTTTTATTTCTAAACATTAATGTTCAGACAGCATTTCTTATTTCTTAAAAAAAAAAAATGGATAATGAAGATTCAACCATTTTTAGTTGCTACACATTACGAAAGAACTATTTGATCAGAATATGCTATTTAAAAAATGTATTTATAAAAGTATAAAATTTTATATACAATAAATTATATTTACCCTTTTGTTTGTTGGTTTACTGGCCATATGTTTTTATTGGGGGGGGGGGGGGGGGGCAACATTCTTTTCCGATTGTAAATGTCTGTGAAAATTAAAAAGAGTAATTGCAGATTCTTTCTTTCAGATATTGATATCCTTCTGGTTTATTAAGTATGAATGTAAATCTATGTTAAATCTTTAACACACACTGTTAATCATAAATATTCATTTGTGTTGTAAATCACATTGCATTTGCATGTACCGTTATTAGAACACGGAATATACATGTATTTGGTATCTTGATTATTACATAAACACGACGAAATTTATTTTTATTCTTGGCCAAGGGTTTTTCGAAAGCAAAATGCACTAGAGATGAAGTCAATCTGTCTTCTTCAAGGCTTGCACACAAGCCTATTACATGTATTAATCAAACACAGTTTGTTGTTTAAAATGATTGTGCATTTTTTTTGTTTATTACATGTGTGTTATCATGAGTGTAAATTCGGTACAATCTCAATTTCAGCCAAAGACTCTAAGACCGGGGTCACTCCTAGAATTTCAGAATCAGAGACCAACAACAACAAAACCTCAGGTGAACTAGACTTGGACAGCGATGACGACGACGATGATATGTCAGATATTTTCGAACGAGCGAGAAAGAAATACAATCTAGAAGTAGACGACGAAACCATGTCTAGAAGCCGGAGGTGAAAACAGCATCACGTGACGGCCCCTCACATGGCATCGTTGTTTTAATTTGCAATTAGTCCAAAAGTGCTCTCCTGACGTTTTTTGGTCCTCTCTTATTTCGTTAACGAAAAGTTTGTCGTTACAGACTTTTTAGTGCTACTATAGAGAAGATTTAACATTAATTGTACATTTTGCGCACTGCCCATTGATTTATATATTTATTATCTGAATAATTGCTACCGGAAGTGGTCTACATTATCCTTGAGCACAGCTACTTTTTTAAAAAGTTGCTTATCATGTCAATAAATATCTTCATCATTATAAAAATTATTTTCTTTTATTTCAATCGTCGGAAACTCATGACTGATTACGCTTCTTTCCTCTCTCCATCACATGATGGCGTGATGGTATTAGATAGAACTAAGTATCATTAGTCGTGGGTTTATATTGACGATGTTTTATTTCCTCTAATGGTGAATCACTCGATCTTTTGTAGCATTACTTGTATATGGCCTTTTCCGTGAAACCAACTGGAGAGAAAAGGCCGAGTAATGTCCCATATGCATTCATTACTTGCAAACAAATAAAAAAAAATATCTCACATGAAACCTTGTTTACGACTTGTATATAAGCTTTTATTATCTCATTTTGTCTTGTGTCCATCTGCAAACTTTTCACATTTTCAACTTCTTCCCAAGAACCACTGCCTTTTTCGACCAAACTTGCCACAACGCATCCTCGGGTGAAAGGTGTTTAAGTTTCTCCAAAAGAAAGACCAAGCTTTTTTTTCAAGGGGAGTTGAATTGGTGAACATTTGGTGTCATCTCTTAAAAATCTTCTTTCAGAATCTCAAAAAAATTGGACTACAAAAACCGAAACATGCTAGAGTTTGTGAAATTACAAAGTGCATAGATTCAAAGTTCAGATCTTCACACTTTCGACTTCTTCCAAGAACCACTGCCATTTTCGACCAAACTTTCCACAACGGATCCTTGGTGAAAAATGTTCCAAGTTTCTTCAAAAGAATTCGAAAGACCAAGCCTTTTTTCAAGGGGAGCTGAATTGGTGAACATTTGATATACCGTAATTTTTAAATATCTTCTTAAATTAGAGTCTCAAAAACCATTGGACTAGAAAAACTGAAAATTATATGAAACCTTCATTACAAATAAAGTGTATAGATTCAAAATTCAAATCTTCACATTTTCGACTTCTTCTCAAGAACCACTGCCATTGTCGACCAAACTTGCCACAACACATCCTCGGCTGAAAGGTATTCAAGTTTCTTCAAAAGAAAGACCAAACCTTTTTTCAAGGGGAGCTGAATTGGTGAACATTTGGTGTCATCTTTTAAAAATCTTTCTTAGAATCTCAAAAACAATTTGATTAGAAAAAATGAAACTTATGAGAAACCTTCATTACAAAGTGCAGAGATTCAAAGTTTACACACCCCCAACCCCCGAGAATGGATGACACCACAATGGGAAATCAAAGTTTTTCATTGGAATATAGGGAAAACTTTTTGAATTATTTTAAGAGCAACAAAGCTATGATTTGTCACGAAGTTTGCATGAATAATATATATATCAATGTTGATAGGTGAACTTTTTAAATTATTTCAAGAGCAACAAAGCTATGATTTGTCACGAACCTTGCATGAATAATATATACACCAATGTTGAAAGGTGAAGGGATTTTGCATGATTGATTGTTAACATTTCTTGAATGAGTTAAATATTTGGGTGTGTATTTGCACGTTAAATAATAAGGGAAAATCTGTATAAATATAAACTAAAAGTACTGTGATCATGAGCACCGAGCTAACTTAAAGATATCCGCTACATCCCATATAATGGCAAAGACCATGTTTTGTTTTTTTTAATCTGGGAGACCCGAAATAAGTGTCAGATTAAAAAGTTAAATAGGAGGTCACAAAGGCATATGAACCAGTAAAATGAAGTCTGTGAAACTCAAAGTATATCATTACATTTTATAAAGTGGACTGGTAGGGCATCGTCTCAAGCCACGGTCCGGGGTCCGCATAGTTCTCTCCTACCAGAATGGGAGAGGATCGTACATTTCCGCCGTGGTTTGCGGCGATGGGTATAGGAGGAGTTGCAGATAAGGTATATGGGTACCCTTCAATATCATAGAAAGAATGGCAATGTCCATGCAGTTCGCTTACGGAAACCCAAAATATGTCTTTGATCAAAAAGTGAAATAGGAGCTACAATGTAGGTGCATTATGACACTGTGTAACAAAGATTCTATGAAAGTCTCATTATACCCACCGCTTGACATACTTGAAAAGCGGGAGGGTATATAGTGATATGGATGTCCGTCCGTGGGTCCGTCTGTTACGCTTTGGGTTGTACCCATCTCTTATCTGCAACTCCTCTTTTACCACTGATTGAAATTTAATGAGAGTGAGACATTCAAAGAATTTTTGTTATATAGTGCCTTTATGCACCTCCGTGTATTTTAACTTTTGACATCGGCGACACATCAGCTGGGGTTTTCCATTGAAAAAAAGGCATGGATACAGAAATTCTTTCTATAGTATTGAAGGGTAACCATCTCTTATCCGGAATTCCTCCCATGCATTCCAATGAGTAAAATTTAATGATACTTTCACAGATTCTTTATTCTGGTACAAAATGGCATTTTGCACTGTCTTCCTATCTTCGTACTTTTTGATCCGACACTTATTTCGGGCCTCCCAGTACAAAACATAGACTTTGTCATTATAATCATGTGGGAGGCATGGGCGTATCATTTAGTGAACTCGGTGCTCACAGTACCTCTAGTTTTCTCATTAAAACTGTAAAAGTACAGTGTACAGGGTGTCCCAAAACATATGTTACACTATTAAATTGTAATAAAAATTTTATGCCTCAAGTTATATGAATGAAATTTATAATACATAATAAAATTGTTATAAATTTTTTTGTCAAACAAACATGTGTCACAGTTTCCTTATTTGTTATCAATAGTATATATATAACATACGTCATTTTACAACATCTTCTAAATGAGGTCCCTTTAAATTAACACTGTTTGAACACGATTTCTGATGTTTTTTTATCAAACTTAAATGTAACACTCTAACAGTTTGGATGGTTTTCCACATTAAAACTGGATTTCACCAAACAACAGAGTTTAAGATTTTCTTTAAAAACATTGTTAAAATGGAAGTGGGCTTCATCGGAAAACCATACTTCTGTTAATTTTTCAGAGTCGGGTCTAATTAAAATCCAATGGGCAAACCCAAAATGACTTCTAATTTCTGTCTCTTTCAAATGCTGCATTACACTTATTATATCTCGTAAGAAATTAAGTTTAATTAAAATTTTATGGACACTAGATTTATAAAAGGTGCTATATTGTTTATACAGAACCCGTTTAATTTTTTTTCAAGTTTCAGAAATAAGTTTATCAATGAGATTAATGTTCTCTGTGGTACGGGCACCCTTGGTCTTCTAATGCCAGAATTAAGTCATGTGTCATTCATGGTGCCTTTAACTTCAAACTCCTTCACAAATTTGTAAATTAGTATTCTGTTGAGTAATTTCATTACAGGATGTTGTTTTCCCATGGTTCTAATGACCAAAATAGAAGATTTAGACCCACAGTAAAGTTTTACAAATTATAACAGCTGTTCAAATGAAGGTTCCATATTAAAAAATATTATGACGTCATAAGGACATCATAATTACCTTAATTTTTAATAGAATTTCTCAAAAGTTTGTCAGATAAAATGTATACTAATACACTTCATGTTGACAAAATATCTTTGTGAATGCTTTTGGTTTGATCAAGTTGTATATGATTAAAAGTGTAACATATGTTTTGGGACACCCTGTACATGTATAATTATTATTCTACTGAGAACGCCACGTTTTTCTGAAGATTTCGTGAATTTCACTATGTAAATTTACTATTTGACAGCAGTCATTTCATAAACACTCATCTTATTACATTATAGTACATATCTTTTTCATGATTATCTTTTTCAAGCACCTTTGACACAGTACATCTTTTTTTCTCGATTATTTCTGCACCATAATTCTAATCGGGATCGGACTACAAGAAAAAGTTACCAGTTGCGTAACCAAAATCACGAGGAACTCGAATTTACTCGGGATAAATCAATAACTATACGTTATCATTATGTGATAAAGTAAGAGAGCTAATTTTAAAGAGTGAAACTTGTTAAACCTCAGAGTTTTTAAACTTGGCAAAAAGTCTTGTCAGGCTAGCTAATATCACTGTCCAAGCAGTCTACAAGGCCTGAACAAGAATGTCAATTTACCGGTCTGGGGTGTGGTTTGTAAAGGGTCTGAGGGAATATACCAAGTAAGTAAAAGACGGTTTAAAAAAAGCGTATATATGAAAATGTATAATTTCTATTGACAGGCAATAAAAATGAAAATATTTAAAATTCTTCGATATATGGTTTAATAAAGCTGTATACATGTACATAAAGATGTATATTCAGTATAGTCACTAAATTGTTACTGTACAAGTTAACTGAGCAAGTTATACAAATGACAGCTATTGAATCTGAGTGTAAACTTTTCTAGGAGTGGATTTCAGGCAGCTTGCAAGAATTTCAATAATGCTGATATTGAGGTCAATGCCAACGGCAGAAGTTTCATGATAACCGGAGCGAACAGTGGAATAGGAAAATGTGCAGCTATTGCCATTGCTCAGAAAGGTAGGGTAGAATGAACATGGTAGATAAACATACACTTGCACATGCTTTTTCATCCACAATGCGCCCAGTTGTATGAATAACAAAATTAAAATTTATCTGTAATATACTTGAAGGTGGCACTGTGCATATGGTGTGTAGAGATGTAACAAGAGGAGAAGAGGCAAGGCAAGAAATCATCACACAGACAGGAAATCAGGTAATTAAACAATTCACTAATTAGTTAACAACGCAGGTACATCATACTCCTGCAAGTAAGAGCCTTAGTTAAAGGGACAAAATCATAAGTATCTTGCCCTGAACCTCTAGCTTTGCTGGAACATTTATAAGTCAATCAAATAGTAACATACTAGGTCTTTAAGTGATCAAGTTCAGTATATCTAAAAAAGTCAAGAGATCATCAGACAGATAAAATACCAGGTAACTCAATGTTGGAGGTAGACCAAGTTGTCATAAATGAAAAACAAATAGTCAATGTGATGTTAATTTCATAGATAGGATATACAGATATACCAGATAACTCAATGTTGGAGGAAGACCAAGCTATCATTAACCAGAAACAAATAATTGATGTGATGTTGAGCAAATATAACAATATTTATTAATATTCATGAAAATTTTGTCTCACTAATAAAAAGTAAATGGCTTCCTTGAAAAAAATAAGGTGTTACCAAAATTAACTTATCTACAGGATTATGAATATGCGTTGTCCTACTCGACATACTTTATAGTCTTCATACTTTAATTTTGCGGACAGGATGTTCACTTAGCTTGATATGTCAAAACCCAGAGATATTTTCAACTTTGTCAAGAATTTTAGAGAGTCTGGAAAAGTCCTAGATGTACTGGTAAGTGCACATGACTAATTATATTGAACGGATTAAGTTTATCATTATTTTACATTCCTTCAGTATTTTTCAAATGAGAAAAAAAATAACAGTATTAGTTTTATAGTTAGAATGTTTTCTTTTTCTCTACAGATTAACAATGCAGGATGCATGGTGAATACAAGGGAAGTAACTGAGGATGGGTTAGAAAAGAACTTTGCCACAAACACACTTGGTAATTGTAGTTTAACTTATATCTAATACTTGAATGAAGTTAATATTTTAACACACAATATGTATATCTAAATGTTCATTTGATTTCCAAAATGCAAGTTAAAAATCATCACCTATAAATGTTTCACTCTTTTAATAAACTGATTTTTACTTCATTTGTTATTTTTAGGAACACATGTACTCACTACAGAATTAATACCTCTTTTGTCAGAAAGAGACAAACCAAGGGTGGTAAGTTCAATTCTCATGGTAACAGTACTTTAAATTGTGCAAAAAAGTGTTTTTGATATTTATACCCCCCACAAACGAAGTTTGGGGGGGTATATAGGAATCACCTTGTCCGTCTGTCTGTCTGTCCGTCTGTCTGTGCAATCGTGTCCGGTCCATATCTTTCTTACAGAGGGACACTGGAAGAAAAATTTCATAAATCGTGCCCGTCCATATCTTTCTTATGGATAAACTAGGTAGGTTCTCATTTCACACAAAGATTGCCCATGACCCAAGGGTGTGTCATGACCTTGACTTAATGTCATTTGGGGAAGCTCAAGGTCACTGGAAGAAAAATTTCATAATTCGTGTCTGGTCCATATCTTTCTTATGGATAAACTTGGTAGGATCTCATTTCACTCAAAGATTGCCCATGACCCAAGGATGTGTCATGACCTTGACCCAAGGTCATTTGGGGAAGTTCAAGGTCACTGGAAGAAAAAGTTCATAAATCGTGTCCGGTCCATATCTTTCTTATGGATAAACTTGGTAGGTTCTCATTTCACACAAAGATTGCCCATGACCCAAGGGTGTGTCATGACCTTGACTCAAGGTCATTTGGGGAAGTTCAAGGTCACTGGAAGTAAATCTCATAATTCGTGTCCGGTCCATATCTTTCTTATGGAAAAACTTCCTTCTGAAAAACCCAGCGGTCTTTTGTCCCGTTTGGACAGTTCTAGTTAAAACTTATAAGCAATATGTAAATCTTATATAAATGTATTGCATTATTTAATTTATTTTATCATATGATCGAGTCCTTTGGGTCTAGTGAATATTGTACCCTTGCCTGTAGGTGACTAAATCATCATACAATGTATTAATCTAAAAAACAGGAATAATTGTACAGAATTTTTAGATAACAGTATCATCAGGTGGAATGCTGACTCAAAAGCTAGATGTCAAGGACTTACAATTTGAGAAGATGAAACCTTTTGACGGCACCACAGCCTATGCTCAGAACAAACGCCAACAAGTTGTCATGACAGAGGAGTATGCAAAACGCTATCCCAGAATCCACTTCTCCAGCATGCACCCGGGATGGGCTGACACTCCTGGTGAGAGATTTTTTGAGACTCAGACGCATAGCTAAATAAAATATTTTGAAATTCAAGATTGCATGGGGATGTGATTTGCCGTGCATGCTGTCTTGTGTTAGAAATTAAAATGTGTGAAAAGAAAAAACAAACAAACCATGAATGGAGTTTTTAAAAATATTTGATATACCAGTAGATTATATCTGTATATAGGGATTTTACAGTCAAATGTCATGAAATTTGGGGGGGGGGACTACAATATAAAGTGCAAATGTTTGAGCTTTTTCAATTTTTCTCAATTTGTACCTTGTATGTTTGATTTCAAAGGTAAAATATTGTACTTTCACAGATAAAACATGTATTTTTACCGAGTCCAAAATGTCAGAGTTGTTTTATATTTGAGTAGCTGTGAGGACTGCAATGCCTAGCTTTTACGAGAAGATGAAGAATCGTTTGAGGACGGCGGAGGAAGGAGCCGACACAGTGATCTGGTTAGCCCTGTCTGAAGCAGCCCTCAAACAACCCAGTGGTCTCTTCTTCCAAGGTATGTGTGCAATGAATTATGGGATACTTTTACTCAAACATCATCCAAGGTGTGTTTGCATTGAATTATGGGATATCTTTACTCAAAGAATTCTTAAGGTAGGATTCTTCTCATATTTCTAATATTTAAAAATTAATGAAATTTTCACAGAATCAAGAAGACAATATCAGTAAGTGATAGTATCAATGAAATTGAATTTGACCATTTTATATTAGAGGCAAGTTCAGGTCAAGGTCATTATCTTTTTTCTTGATATTAAGAATAAAAAATAACTGTTGCCAATCATGTGATACCTTCTTCTATTTCAAAAGTTTAAAGATTGTTCTTTTTGCATAAAAACATATTACTATATCGGATCTATAGCATGATATTACCAAATTTACATAAATAATTTAACTTTACTGGATATTGGCTTATCCGAATTTTCTCTGCTTTTCTTAATATTTAAGGATATATTAGTTATTTTCATATGCTTCCTATATTTAACTTTTTCTTATTTTCACATATAATAAAGTTGTCGTATAAATGTACAAAATGATACAAAAACAAAAAGTTTTGATTGTTTACCAAGAGAGAAAAAATACTTTTTATGAATTTTTGGCTCAAATCTGCACTTTGATGGGAAGCGTTTAAAAGCTAATAAAGTTCTAGTTTGTTTGAAAAATCATATTTATTTGATAGATTTTGAAAGTTTAGTCACTCATGATTAATTTAACTTACATTTGAAATTTTCTCTAAGTCTTCGATTGTATAAAAATTATTACTAAATTCATTGTTCTATTATAATTTTGAGGGACAGAAAAGAAGATATTTTCATACGCCACCATTCCACCAAAAATATAGTCCCAGCTAGTTTTCAAAAGCAGTTTACCATTTCTATTTAAAGTTGTACAATTGTGATGAGGAAAGAAAAATATTATCTTTTAAATTCCTTACACATCAATATATAAGACATATTAGCAAATATACTTTGAATGTTTCATCTAGTCAGAAACCAGAAAATAATCCTACCTTAACACAAGGATCTCTTCTTCCAAGGATATGTGTGAATTGAATTATGGGATAATTTAACTCAGCCAATGCAGAAGTCCCTGTATGCACTAAATTCTGGAAATTTTCATTTGTTGACATTTAAAAAAAAAACACTGTATATAATATACTACAGATGCAATCATCATGTTAAAACTATATCTGTTTGATTTTGATTGAAATTTTTAGAAGAAAAAAAAACATCTTTAAATGATATGTACATGTACATGTTAATATTGCAGACCGAACCCCTGTTGCAACACATCTACCTCTTGCTTGGTCTAGAGCAACACCCCAAGAACGTGAACAGTTTATGGATCAAGTGGATCAGATGGCCAAACAGTTCAGCATCTAGAAAAACCATGAATTGAAAGAAAACTACTCCCACGCGCAAATCATCTTGAACTTGTTCAGAGACCACATGCTAAAATCAAATCTTATTTATAGCATGTCTGTGTTTGATCCTGCCATGATGGAATCAGTTTCTACCTATGTCCATCTTCTTTCCTGAAAGTACTCTGATGGGTGTTTGTTGAACACAATTGCGTTGCATAGCATATCAGTTTGACCAATCTCACCAAACTAGAAACATTAATATATGTGTATTAATCATATTAAGTAATGTCTAATTAAAATACACGTACATGTATGAGATTTTTATAATATGTATTTATGTTGTATTTCTCATTCAAAAAAGTACCTGTATTAAATTTATGGGTATATGTTCTAACCCCTTTGTTTTGTCTATTTTGATACATGTAGGTTGTATGATGTTTTGTGCATTTGATTGTCCTCCACTTTTGTGAAAGCAAGGTCATTATAAATCTTATTTGACTGACCAACTATCAGTCTGTCACAAAAACTTCAACTTTGGTCATAAATTTTGAATGAGAAAAGATGGGGCTTTCATATTTCACTTGTTCATTACCTCTGAGAAATATACTTTGTTTTTTTATGCCATGAAGTTTGACCTACTTTTGAAAATATCAAACAATACTTTAAATTGGTCATTGAGAAAAGATAGGGTTCCACATATCAACTAATCTGTTAGGAATGTATATCTGTTCGTTGAAAATTATGTACCAAAAGTTCTTAAAAATTTATACTGAAACACTTTTCTAACCCAGGCCTACATTATTCAAGATACAAAGTCTATGTGTTAATAGATCTATTGAAGGCAAAAAGGACAACACATAATTCTAAAAAAAAATGTCATTTATTATATTTAATATTTCTGAAAGGGGTTGTATTTTTTGGAATTATGTTGTTTAAAATATATTTATTCAAAGAAATGGATTGAGCAGCAGGCATAACTGCCTATGATCATTCTCTCCATAATTTGAATTATGTAAGCCTGATATTAAAATAATTAAGAATTTACATGTTTTCTCTTTTATTTGCATTAGATTTATTTAGGAGAAGATGTACTAAATAAAATCCTCAATTTTTTCCTTCAATAAATGCTAATCCTTATATATATATATATATATATATATATATATATGTTCAGTTTGTATAAGACAATATGCTGTTTATTGAGGACAGAGTCCTAAACCAAAACAGATACCTGTACTTGTACTATTTATTGTGTAATATTGTGATATGAAAAAAAAATGTATGGTAAAGATTAAAGAAATTAAATTGAAAGAAATAAAGACGGATTTTTTTCAAGACTAAAACAGGATTTTTAGTTGAAGGCTCCAAGAGCTGTACAGTGCTAAATGTACATGTATGTCATTGACCATGTACCTTTGCCTTATTTTTAGCTCACCTGACCATATGGTTCGAATGAGCTAATCAGAATGGAACGGAAAATTTATGTCAAACAAATACCCTAGATTTGATATAAATCAGATATAAAAAGCAATATTATTGACATAAAAATCATATCTAATAACATTTGTCGTAAACCTTGATATTTTTATGAATCATGCACCCCATAGAACTGGCAAGTGTACATGCGATGGTCTATAAAATACATACCAACTAGACTCAAATCCTGAGTATTCATGTGAACGTATTGCACGAATCTTTTTTATGGCTCAAGTGAGCTTTTCTTATTAAAATTTGTCCGCCGCCGTCGTTGTTGTTATCGTTGTAAACTTTTCACATTTTCGTTTTCTTCTCCAGATCTACTGGACTGATTTTAACTTGGCACAGAGTATCCTTGGGTGACGGGAATTAAAGTTTATTCAAATGAAGGGCCATGCCCTCTTCAAAGGGGAGATGAATCGGTCAAAAATTAAATGTCGTCTTTTCAAAATCTTCTTCTCAAGACCCACTGGGCCAGGAATGATGAAACTCATGTGGAAGCAACCTCAGGTAGTGAAGATTCAAGTTTTTCAAGTCCCCCCAGGGGTGGAGTGGGGCCACAATGGGGTATCGAAGTGAAACATTGGAATTCATACGGAAAATCTTTAAATATCTTCGCCACGATTCGTCATAGTAATATTGAGGCATCCTCTTGTAGTGTAGTTTCAAGTTTCTCCAAATCATGACCCCTCAGGCAAGGGTGGGGTCATTATCGGTGAGCAAAGTTTTAAGAAGGATTACATAGGAAAAGGTCACAAAGAATTTAAATATCAAACAGACAGACAAACGCTGAGCAAACTGACATGTTAAGCGTCACTTTACTTTGCAGACGACTTAAAAATGTTCTGAAATCAAATTGGAGGATGGAGGGGCTAGGGGGATCACTGTCTTATGGATCAAAATATGAACGTGCATGTGATACGTGTATACAAAAAAGGAATTAATATTTTCAAGGCCTTTCTGTTTCTTTATAGAGTACGCCTTGCCTCGGTGAATATACCCACACTTGACTACAGAATATATACGTCCATGAGTTTCCCCCCCCCCCCATACAACGTTTGACATCAGCAGGCGGAATTTTGCTTTATTCAGAAACACACTTGTCGGCCCGGGGTATTGAACATACCTAACATGTTTAAGGTGTAATTTCTTTCTTTGTTTTGGTTTTACTTTTTGTAATAGAAAACTATCCAGAAGCGACTTTGTGAAGCAAAAGATATTTATATGATTTTGGAAACACAAACTGGAATTTTGCAGAACCAAGGAAAAGGACAGAGATTTTAACTTGAATCGGAAATTCCTTAGAAATCCACTGAGAATATTTTCATCAATTATTCTAATTTTGAAGGACATGCATGTGAATTTTGAATAAAAGCTATTTTCCATTTTTTAAAAAATCCAATATAGACGTTGACTGACCAAAAGCAGTTTTTTGTTTAAACATTGATACAGGAATTTTAATCATATGAGATTTATGTAGAAAATCATGTATACATAATTCCATGATATTTACAAAAATCTCCGAACTTGATCTTTAATTATTAATAAAAACTGCAAATATACAATGCAAATTCTAGTACATGTATTTGTATCATTATATCTTCAAAAGAACAGTTTCTTAATATTAAAATGACAAGGAAAGCCTACAATGTTTAGTTTACTTCAAGAAAAATGTAGTTTGTTTTTATCAGTACGTAATACCCAAAATTTGAGTGTCCTTAACTTTAGAATATATATTATAAAAAAAGAATTTTCATTTTTACAGTATGTAGGTTTTGTGATATGTCCGTTACAACGGTATCAAAAAGAGAGGAAAAAAAATCAGAAACCATGACATTGTGAAAATAATTTTTTCTAGATTATCACGTGACAATTGCAACGTCATAATAGTTATTATGACGTCACGATACTTCAGTGTATTGGCAACGAATGTCGGAATAGTGTTGACATTATCTCATCAAAGGAAAAATTCTTAGCTTGAATGTAAAATGAATATCCAAACTCAGGTGAGTAGCAATTTTTAACAAACTTAGTTCAGAAAATAGGTGCATAATTTAATGGTTATACTTAATGTAATTTTCTCCAATTAATTTTTGATTAATAAAAACATATTTTAGTGAATTCATTGCTTTGGTTTTATATCGTGGAGATGAAATAAACAATCTTAATAATCGAAGAAATTTCCGGGAAGCGGAAAAAGTTGTGTTATCATATAAAAAAAATAGTTTTTCGTGTTTATATTTCAGAAAAAAATCCATGCAGTTATAAATCAAAGTACTTCAAATTCGCTTTGACTTTTTTTTTTATTAACATTTGATGATATACATGTAAAATGAGTTGTTGTGGTATGGAGAGATTTTTTTTACTGTCTTCTGTCAATAAAACACCTCTATTTTGACTTAATTGAAATGAACGTGCTATTTTTTTAATGTTACAATACATGTATATTTAAGTAATCTCAAAACGTCGATGTTGCCTGCAATATCGTGGGGGGGGGGGGGGGTGTTTTGATGAATTTATTTATGCATGTTCAAAATACTTTTCCCAACAATAAAAAAAACCTTCGTTGATAAAAAGTTTTGATGCAATGGTTTAATTCCATACAAACTTTTCTTTTGAATTCATGCCGCCCAGCATCGTCGCAAGCCACGGGTTTTGTGTTCATTCTATTTGTGGAAATAGAATGGACAAAAAACCCGTGGCTTGCGATGATGGCAGGCCAGTGAACTGCCCATAGTTAAGCAAGTTAAGTAAAAATATATGCATTGAACATAGATAACACTTGCTGCAACCCGCGGAAAAATTCAAAATTTACACAAAAACAATTCTAAATGGAAATAACTTATTAAGATGTATCGAATTGAGTGAAATACATGAATGTGGACAGAGTTTTAACAAAATTCGAAGAAAATAATATCTTAGAGTAGGTACTTATCACATGACATTTGCAACGTCACAATAGCTATTATGACGTCAGTTAACTTTAGTTTATATTGGCAACGAATGTCGGAGTAGTGTTGTTATCTAATCGAAAGAAAAAACTCTTTGCGTAAAAGTACGATGAATACCCAAAATCATGTGAGTAGCAACTTTGAACAAAGTTAAACTAGTTCAGGGACAAATATGCATAATGCAATAATACCAAAATGCATTTCTCACCTTTTTAAAAAAAAGAATATCAATAGAGTTTACTTATACAATAGGCCATATAATGAGGGAAATGCGATATATTTTAAAGGAATATTTTGAGAATCGGGAATTTGTTTATGTCAAATTAAGATAATTTACATTTTTAGTATTGAACATGCAATAAATATTTTTAAAAAAATATTGTTATTCAAGGACAAACTAATTCAATGATTCTTTAATATCTATATTTTATACACTGTAAACCAGTTTTTAACTCATATTCATGCTTTTCACATCTTTAGATCTGGTATTATTTACAATTCTAGAACGACATCGAAAATGTTACAATGCTAAAAATGCTCAAGATGTCTCTATTGCATGCAATGTCAAGGATCAAATATAATAAATACATTGGAATGCTTCAATTTATAAGTTTTGAAAATGCTTTATTCTATAATGAACCTACTTTGATGAATAAATTTTATGTAATGCAGGGGCGTAGTATCCGGGGGGGGGGCCAGGGGGGGCCTGGCCCCCCCACTTTTTTTCCCAACCTTACTTACACAATAGGAATGTTAATTGAAAGCCTGGTTGGCCCCTCCACTTTTAGAAAGTAGAAACTTTTAAAAAGTAGTTGATTTTGAGAAAAAGCTTACCTACCCCCCCCCCCCCCCCCCCCCCAGTTGGGCAACTTTTCCCTTTTTTTTTTTTTGCTTGTCAACTTTTTCAGGTAGGTAAAAAAAAAAATTCTCTGCCTGGCCCCCCCACTTTCAAAAACGATGCTACGCCACTGTAATGGTTCCAACTACTAGTAATTTCTAATCCATGTTTTCATTTTCTAGAACGAGATCTTGGATTTCGGAGAAGACCCCGTAACCAGTGTGGTAGGTGTACTTAACTTTTAATTTCATGAAATGTCAACTTATTTTTGATTCCACTCACTGAATTGGGAATTATAGCCAATGTCATAAAAAAAACCCTTTTATTTTCAGGATGCTAAACTGGCAATTCTATCTTTCTCTTACAATTGGGCTGATATCGTCGAGCAAGAGGAGAAGTTAAAGGTATTTTTCTACACCATTAATTAACATATATTGAATATTTGATTATTCAAAAATATAATGAATATTTGATTATTCATTTGCTTCTATTTTGCACAACTTAAAAATTATGACACAGGTTCCTGACGGAAAAAAATGTACACAAAGAAATTTTTTGTGGAATGCAGTATCATATATGACCTTTAGAATGTTCTCTCTCTCTCGTAATTTCAAAAACTTATAATCTGTAAATTTCAGAATAATGGAGATGTCCCTGTACCTCAAAAGAGCCTAGACCAGACAAACATCAGAAGTACTACTATTGAAGCAGCAGGATTTCCTACAGCAGAACTAGCAAAGTCTAAGGTATAAGAAACGCAAATAAATATGTTACAGTAACTCTAGAAATAATAGTAACATGATATAATTAGACTTTCATTAAAAAATAATCATGCCATGCGTTACACTCTATATTTTACTAAATAATACTGATGGCAATCGAATACAGAATTGCCAATTCGGTTAATCTGCTTGCTACAATGTACTATTATAAACCTACTGAGATGAATTTTTTCATTACAACTAGTTTCTAATTAGTGTTTTCATTTTATAGGACGAGATCCTTGATTTCGGAGAGGAACCCGTTACCAGTGTGGTAGGTGTTTTTAACTTTTAATTTCATGAAATTTCAACTTATTTTTGATTCCACTTACTAAATTGGGAATTATAGCCATTGTCATAAAAAACCTTTTATTTTCAGGATGCTAAATTGGCAATTCTGTCTTTCTCTTACAATTGGGCTGATATCGTCGAGCAAGAGGAGAAGTTAAAGGTATTTTTCTACACCATTAATTAACATATATTGAATATTTTATTATTCAAACATATGATTATTTCATTATTCATTTGCTTCTATTTTGCACAACTTCAAAATTATGACACAGGTTCCTGACGGAAAAAAATGTACACAAAGAATTTTTTTGTGGAATGCAGTATTATATATGACCTTTAGAATGTTCTCTCTCTCTCTCTCTCTCTCTCTCTCGTAATTTCAAAAACTTATAATCTGTAAATTTCAGACTGATGGAGATTTCCCTGTACCTCAAATGCGCCTAGACCAGACAAACATCAGAAGTACTACTATTGAAGCAGCAGGATTTCCTACTGCAGAACTAGCAAAGTCTAAGGTATAAGAAACGCAAATAAATATAATACTCTAGAAATAATAGTAACATGATATAATAAGACTTTCATTAAAGAAATAATCATGCCATGCGTTACACTCTATATTTTTCTAAATAATACGGATGGCTATCGAATACAGAATTGCCAATCGGTTAATCTGCTTGATACTATAATAAATGTACTGAGATGATTTTTTTTATGTAATGGTTCCAACTAGTTTCTAATCCGTGTTTTCATTTTACAGAGCGAGATCTTGGATTTCGGAGAGGAAGCTGTGACTAGCGTGGTAGGTGTAATTAACTTTTAATTTCATGAAACTTCAATTACTTTTGATTTCACACACTAAATTTGGTATAATAGCCATTGTCATCAAAAAACCTTATATTTTCAGGATGCCAAACTGGCAATCCTATCTTTCTCTTATAACTGGGCGGATATTGTGGAAAAAGAAGAAAAGTTAAAGGTAATTAATATTTTACAAGTAATGACACAATTAGGTCCCTGGCAGAGAGATGTAAATGTATATATAAAAAGTTATCTTTCTGGAATGCAGTATCATATATGTATTTTAGAATTTAATATTTCTATTTTCTGTTTCTTTTTATGTTCATGAATTTATGAAAAAAAAAATTCGTTAATATTAGTGTAATGGAGATGTTTCTGGGCCTCTGGTACATCTAGACCAGACAGTCGCTGACATCGCGAGTACAACAGAGAACTCTTCTACAGTAGAAGCGACCAATTCTAAGGTAAAAATTGCAAATAAATACTTAACATTAGAAACAATTGTGATATTTATATTATCTGTCTTAATTAATAAAAATAATCATTATAATATGCATATAATGCCTTCAACATGTTCTTTATTTTACCTTTACTTCCTTTAAAGGAAGAAATCAAAGCCTTCGGTGACCTAGACTTATCAAACGGAGCCCAAGAATACGAGGACGCAGCAGACACAAACCTCGGTCCACATTCTCGCCCATTGCAACTGGGAGAAAAAGACAATAAAGATGCTGCAGAAGCGAAAAGTCAAGCGTCCCCTGAGAGCATGGAGGAGTCCGTGTATCGAATTGACAATTCTGTGATACAGCGCATGAAGAGACTGGTGCACATCTATGATGCTAAAACTGGAATTGTAGTTGGAGAGATCCATGCGCAGTGCATTCGAGAATCAGATGAACGTGATAGACAGCCATGGAGGACAGAATTTGATGCCACAGTATCCAAAGATTTACAGGTAAGTTAATATTGTTTTTTATCTTTGGTAAAAGATGTGTACAGATTTGAATTTAACTGGATGAAAATTAATATATGTATAAACCTTACTGTGTCTTTTTACAGAACTCGTATCCTCAAACCACACTGCTGGATGGTACTCCTGTTAGATGCAGCACCAATAGCGGCACAACAGCGACATGCAGCATTGATAGCGGTACGACAGCGACATGCAGCAACAATTGCGGTACAACAGCGACATCCAGCGCCAATTGCGGTACAACAGCAATATGCATCACCAATAGCGGTACAACAGTGACATGCAGCACTGATAATCGAACAAGGCAAGGATGTTACGCTATCTTACTAAAAGTTTAAAGTTTGTAATATTTCCTATTAAAATTCCATAGTATAGCTTACATCGTAAATTTGAAATGAACACATTTGATTTCTGTTACAGGAAAATCCGTGGACTGGAAATCATTGACCAAGAAATATCTATTCTGTCAACAGAGCCTGAGGTAAGAAATAAAAGTTTTTTTCCCTAAGAATAATGTCAATTACCCATCCATACATGTATAAGAAATGATTTAAATCTTGGAGAGAACACACAGCATAAATACTGCTTTTTGTTTAAAGGGGATAGGGTGGGTTGGGGTAGGGGTTGGTTTTTGTATTTTTCGTTTTAAAGAAATCCATAGTAAGATTTCTTTTTCATTGTAGCAGCTAATTGCGTCCGACATCCAGGAATCAAAGAATCAGGAAACTGACACAGAAAACGAGTATTTTACCAAACACCCTCTGATGCGCCTGTTTCTTTGTGGAGCATGTTGTTCAGTGAGTACAGGTTCCCAAATACTAGTATTTCAGTTTAATTTAAATAATTTTTGTTAGAATGACTTATCATTTAACGAATATTGTGTTTAAAATATTTGATTAATGTATTTTTTCAGAAAACAAGAAAAACGAAGACCACTGAGAAATTTGGACTGTTCAGAAAAATTCGAAAGATTTTCCGCAGAAATTAATTGACTCTTACATGTTCCTGAAATTAAGAAGCTAATCTGTGATAATTTTTTACAGTTATTAAATTTTAATTTATTTTTTCTTTCATTATTTTGTTTATTTATTTATTTATTTGGTTCATTTGACTGAACATGATGACTTTTACTTCCATTATTACCATATACACAGAATTTTAAAACGTGAGATATATTTGCTAACATGGTCATTACGAAGACTATGGAGTTTCCGAAATGCAGACTTAAAACGAGCTTGTTGAAATCTCTTTAGCATCAACTTATCTGTCAGTAGCCTACATTGGTTTTAAAATTGATCATGCTCGTAGCATGCTCTTGATCAAATAAGTTTGGAAATGTTAACACTACGTAGGTTTATAATAACAGATTTTACTACACCAGTACATAAACAAGAAAACATTGATGTAACCATCAATTGTCGCCCGGGAAATATATAAAGTAAACTATGGAAATGACTCTTGATCATCATACCGCTTCGATATGTGTGAAAAGGCATGCGTATAATTGATAGAGACGATAGTCGGGAATATTTGGAAAACTTATAGTCGGATAAATGTCAAACAAAAATGATACCATTTCAAACTTCAATTCCTCAAGTAAATGTTGGCTACTTAAAATATAAATTGGAGTTAGACACATGCATCACCTATATTAAAAATGATGTTCTCGATGTTCTAAAAAAAAAGGGACCTGTCGTTTTTTCGATAGTAAATGATAAACAACTTTATATATTAAATATGAAAAACATTATATTTTTACAGATTCATTTTCTGGAAGTAAATATATTATGTATCTCGTAATTTATAAAGGGAAAGAACATTCTGATTAACAATCTATTCCATGTTTAGAAAACCTTTACTTTTGAATAACTACTCCCACCCCAATACCAACACTTAAACTTATATATGTATAGATCAGCCCGGTCCTCCGGGCTGCAATTCGGAAAGTTGACGATGAAAATGATCAAATAGTTTCGTTTGTCATACAATTTAGTTGAAAATTTATACTTATTGATTTCTAGTCAGTAAAGCATCCAAATATGAAAAAAAGTGGCAGATTGACTCTGCTGTGTCCTAAATTTCAAGTTCACTTGGATATTTCTGGTCGACATATGAATAAAGTAACTATATGTTACAGTTATTGAACAATTATTTTGGGTACTAGTATCATTAGATATTCTGATGGGCGGTGACGAGTTCGCGCTGGCAAACGAGATCACGCCCATCTGAATATCTAGTGATACCAAATAATTGTTCAACAAGGAACTTGTATCATGTCAATCATCGGTCACATGACCTTTAGTTTTAATTCTATTCAAATTGACAATTAATATTGTTTCATTTCACTTGCATAATGCTGAGTGACAAGATGGATATTAATTAAGCAAGAGCCTCCACATTGCCGGGCCCGTTCAAAATTTTTCGGTGGCTGTGAACGAAGTCTAAAGGGAAGGCGGCTTTTTGCGTGTATGTGTGTACTTTTTAAATTGTGAAAAACTTTCAAAACAGGACTTTGTGTTTATACGAATTTACTGACCCCAAACCCATGGATTCCAAATTGTAGGAACATATAAAATTGTAGAAACATAACAAAATTACCTGTTTAAGTAATTTTAACTTGGATTTTCTGGACTAGAAATCGTCATTCAACAAATCTCCCAAGGCAAGTACCCGTTTTGTTTCAGATCTATCAAAATCTTAATAATAAATAATATCAAGCTAAGCAGCTATAAAATACGACTGTTTAATATAGCAACGAAGTAATTTTGATTAATAATACTAGGCACGTAATTTTACGAAGAAGGGGGGGGGGGTTTGTCCCTCTCCTTTCAAACTTTAAAAATTTTAACTGTTCATTATAATTGAGTAACTGATATGAAAACAAGCCAAGGAAATACAATTTAAGCCCCCCCCCCTTTATAGCAAATTAATAATTTGTATTATTACAAATTGATAATTTGTTATAAAAAAATTAATAATCTGTTAAAACAAATTAGTAATTTGTTATAAAAAATTAATACTTTGTTATAACAAATTAATAATTTGTTATAACAAATTAACAATCCGTTAAAACAAATTAATAATCTGTTAAAACAAATTAGTAATTTGGTTTAACAAATCAATAATTTGTTATAACAAATCAATAATTTGTTATAACAAATTAATAAAAGATTCTACTGCGGCCCTAATACGCTTCCGTAGTTTACGGCAGGTATTTCCTATAACATTTTAACATTTTACATTTTAATAAACGTTTATACCATGCATAATTTTTCCTTACATAGGAGTAAGGTCAGATCTTTTCTCTTGCACGAGAAAGGTTAGAACAATAAAAAGCATTTGAACAAAAAATGATTCAAAATTGCAAAATGCAAAATATGTATATAAAAAAAAAAATTATTTAAACAATACTTTATTTCCCAAGAAAAAACTAAATAAAGTATTACGTCATTAGTTTGAGGTCACAGTATATCAAGGAAAATAGTTTAAACCTTCATTTTTAATATATACATATAACAACTTGATTAACCTTTTGAAATTCTCTCTCTCTCAAAAAAAATATATATTTCATTGCACTACCATTACATGTGAGAAAAAAAAATATGCAAAAATGACCCATTTCATGATTCGAACCCATTCTCTGGAAAAAGTATTAGATAGAAGTCCACTAACATATCCACTGGAATATTTCAGACACAATGGTATACCATGATTGTTATTTAATATACTCATTTTGAATTTCGTATGGAGAATAATTTTTATCAAATTTTTGCGCTTTTCAGAAATCATCTTCGCTACATTTCGGATCGGAAACCCTTGGCTAGCGAAGATGTTCAAAAATGTGCCTCCTTGAAACAAAAGATGCCCATGGGCCTTATAGGTCACCTAAGAATCATGCAACAACTTTCAAATGATTGAATTTGGTTTATGTTTTAAGGTAGATGCTATGGCATTTACAATTTTCAAAGAGGCTGGCACCATTACTAATCATAACTATAAACTTAGCAATTGCTTACTTTGGTTACTAAAGGGGCTGAGTGGTTGTGGCCATTTTTAGACTATTTTGTTCTCCTTTAGAAGAAGAGATCCATATACATGTAAAGATATACAAATATAATCAAATTTTAAAACTAATATGACTGTATGAAATTTTTCTTTGTCGAATGATAGTTGATAGATAAAAATATATCTAAAATTTTAAGTTATATCTGGTGTTAATTTTTTGATCCCCAAGCCTCCTTAATACCCATAGGCAGGGTAGGGGAACAAAAATGCACATCAACTAATCAGGAATATTCAGCAATAATCAGAAGTGCTCCTACCACACATGAACCCCTGACCCTAGGTCCACACATTGCACAGTTTTTGAAGGCGCACTTGCTTATCAAAAATATTTGGTTAATACCAAGGAGCAGATTTCGAACAATTCATTTTTAGCATATAAGTAGAGCCCCCCTCCCCCTATGGTATATCTGACCCAGGTGCCTGGAAATTCACAATTCTGTAAGAAGAGCCCTTGCACATCATAACTGTATAGGTAGTTCATCTGCTTATTACCCAGGAACAGAGAAGATTTTTCAAAGAATTAATGTATTTTCACTATACAATCATTATTTAACCATTATTGAGCCCGCCCTTACACCAAAACCCCTGACCCTGGGGCCATGAAATTCACAATTTTAGAAAAAGCATTCTTGCTCATCATAACTATGTTCTTAGTTATTTTAATTAATACCCAGAAGCAAAGAAGATTTCCAAAGAATTAATGCATTTTCACTATATATAATCAATATAGCCCCGCCCGAACACCAGAACCCCTGACCCTACTACTACAAGGGGCCTTGGTTTTGTAACGAGACCGAGGGTATCGTGTTATAATTAACTCGTGGGCCGCTATTGGTTTTCTGGTCACTGGTCGAGATTTGATGGTAACGTTGGTCACAGTTTATGTTATGGTCAATGACCAACTTTTGGTCACTTATTTGGTTGACGTAATGACCAACTTTTGGTCACTTCTTTGGTTGACGTAATGACCAACTTTTGGTTACTTCTTTAGTTGACGTAATGACCAATTTTTGGTCACTTTAAATAATGTTTGTTAAGAATAACACTTGTTAAAAGTTTATAACATTTATTAGGATGATCAAATGGTTCACTTATAAACACACAAAATGGTACACTGTAACTTGGTTGGTACAACGTTATTTGGTTAACAAAAAGGTGACCAACCGATGGTCAATCCAGGACGTTCCTAAAAACTTGGTTCCCTTTAATGGTTTCGTATACATAGACTTGGTACCGTCTTATAATCGAAGTATACGGAGTCGTTCCCCAAAGT